GCTATCGCACATCATAAAAATTTTTGAGAGAGTGCTAAGAAGTAAGATCACAAAATACATGGAATCACAGCAACTCCATAAACCCGGACAACATGGTTTCAGAACAGGGCGCTCCTGCCTGTCGCAGTTGCTGGACCACTATGATATGGCATTAGATGCTATGGAAGACAAATAAAACGCTGATGTAATTTACACAAATTTCGCAAAAGCTTTTGATAAATGTGACCATGGTGTTATTGCACATTAAATGCGTTCAAAAGGAATTACCGGAAAAATAGGCAGATGTATCTACAATTTCCTGACTAACAGAACCCAATGTGTAATAGTCAACAAAATAAAATCCAACCCATCAACCGTGAAGAGCTCAGTCCCCCAGGGTACTGTGCTTGCTCCAGTACTTTTTCTCATCCTCTTATCGGACATAGACAAGAACACAACCTATAGCACTGTATCATCCTTTGCAGATGACACTAGGATCTTCATGAGAGTAGGCAACAAACCTCCAATCAGATGTAGATCAGGTCTTTCTATGGGCTACAGAAATAATATGGTGTTTAGCGAAGATAAGTTCCAGCTCATGCGCTATGGAAAAAATGAAAATATAAAAACGGAAACCATGTACAAAACTCAGGCAAATCATAACATAGAACGAAAAGGCAATGTAAAGGATCTGGGTGTACTCATGTCGGAAGACCACACCTTTAAAGAACACAATAAAGTAGCCGTCACAACTGCAAGAAAAATGACAGGTTGGATAACAAGAACTTTTCACACTAGAGATGCTATACCGATGATGATACTTTTCAAAACGCTAGTGCTCTCTAGAGTGGAGTACTGCTGTACAATGACAGCCCCTTTCAAAGCTGGAGAAATTACTGACCTGGAGAGCGTGCAGAGATCCTTTACTGCTAGAATCCACTCAGTAAAACATCTAAACTATTGGAACCGACTAAAGAGCCTAAATCTGTACTCCCTTGAGCGCAGGCGGGAGAGATACATAATAATTTACACGTGGAAAATATTAGAGGGGCTGGTCCCAAACCTGCACACAGAAATAACATCACATGAGACCAGAAGACATGGCAGGATGTGCAGAATACCCCCGTTGAAAAGCAGAGGTGCAACAGGTACTCTGAGAGAGAACTCTATCAACATCAGAGGCCCGAGACTGTTCAACACGCTTCTGCTACACATAAGGGACATAACTGGCAAACCCCTCACAGTGTTCAAGAGAGAACTGGATAAGCACCTCCAAAGGATACCTGATCAACCAGGCTGTGACTCATACGTCAGGCTGCGAACAGCAGCGTCAAACAGCCTGGTTGATCAGTCCAGCAACCAGGAGGCCTGGTCGACGACCGGGCCGCGGGGACGCTAAGCCCCGGAAGCACCTCAAGGTAGCCTCAAGGTAAGGTGGAAGAACTGCTACTTCGGCTTGTAAATTGCCATTGATCATGCAATTCATTGAAACTCCCTCGTGCAACATTTCCAAACCATCCGGCACAGGAAAATTATTACAGAAATGTAAACTTATTGTTTGGGATGAATGCACAATGGCCCTCAAAAAATCGCTCGAGGCTCTTGATCGATCATTGCAAGATTTGCGTGGAAACATCAGACCATTTTGGAACGCATTAATATTGCTTGCAGGAGATTTCATGCAAATATTACCTTTAATTCCTCGATCGACACCAGCGGACGAAATAAATACTTGCCTGAAATACTTTACTATGTGGCGCCACGTAAAGATGTTAAAATTAACTACAAATATGCGTGTTCAAGTGCAAAACGACTCATCACTGAGATTTTCTCACATCAATTTCTGGAAATTGGGAACGGAAACGTGCCGGTTGATCTGACCTCAGGACGAATTTCATTGCCTCATAACTTCTACAATTTAGTGACGTCAAAAGAAGAATTGCTTGAAAAAGTATTTCCCAATATTCAAACCAATTATAAGAATCACGATTGGCTGAGTGAACGAGCTGTTCTTGCGGCCAAGAACAAAGACATCTAGGAACTTAACAATATTATTTAGTCTAACATACAAAGCAAGGCAGTCACATACAAGCCCGTCGACACTGTGGTGGAACCAGATGAAGCAGTTAATTATCCAACAGAATTTTTTAATTCACTCGATCTGCCAGGGATACCACCACCTCACGAGCTGCAGTTAAAAATCAGCGGGCCAATTATCATGTTATGATAATTGAACATGCGAAAGTTTAGCAAAGGCACGCGGCTTGCAGTAAAAAATTATTCAGTAACGTCGTAGAAGCAACAATCTTGACAGGAACTTTCAAAGGTGAAAATGTTCTCATTCCTCGCATTCCTATGATTCCAAAGGATTTGCCATTTCAATTTAAGAGATTGTAATTCCCAATTCGATTGGCGTTTGCAGTCACCATCAACAAAGCTCAGGGCCAATCTTTAGAATTGTGCGGTTTAGATCTAGACACGGACTGCTTCTCACATGGACAATTATATGTTGCGTGTTCTAGAGCCTGCAATCAGACAATCTCTATATCGTCACAGACAGTGGAACAAGAAAAAATATTGTATACCCACAAGCATTGTGAAATCAAACATGTTAGAAACGGGCATTTTCTCTTTTCTTTCTTTTCCATTTAACCAGACTGAGCCCCAGCAACGCGTGGCGGGTACAGCTAGTATATAAATAAAAATGGAAATGTTTGTTTGTTTAAAATCGGTAATTTACGAAAATTCTTCACTGATTGCTTTGAAATTTTCACACAACGTTCCATTCCCATCCGAGCGGGTTTTTATATATATACTTTATAGATGTCACGTCTGTGACGGGAAGAAAACATGTTTTTTTTTTTAACTGTGTTTTTCATGTGAAGGAAATCTTCGAAACCGCTGTTCCGATTGCTTTGAAATTTTAACACAACGTTGCATTCGAATAGGCGCATCTTTTTATATATCTACTATATACATGCCTCACTGTGACAGGCAAAAACATGCTTTTTTAAAAAAAACAGCGCCATCTGTTGGATGTAAGAGCAACACATGCTGTAATCTCCGAAAGAATTTCACTGATTGCTTTGAAATTTTAACACAACGTTCCATTAGAATACGTGCGTGTTTTTATATACCTACTTTATAGATGCCACACATGTGACAGGTAAAAACATGTTTTTTGGAAAAACAGCACCATCTGTTGCATGTAACAGCAACACATGCTATACTAAATATGTTACGATTTCATTTCAATGTTTCTCATTGCATTGATAAATTGAATTTTCATTAATTTCGATTTACTTTCATTTTGTTTGAATTATTTTGTGAGACATTGCTATGGAATTGAGCTGTTTTGCTTACCATACCATTCATTTTGTGATTCTAGTTTATTTTTTATTTTTTCATTAGTTTTCATTTCGTTTTTTAACTGTTTTTCTTATATTTTAGTGATGTGAATATCAGATCTTCTTTTGTTCCCAATTATCTGAAGGGAACATTAGATCATTTGGGAATGTATCAGATGAGGGAGTGGGGGTAGTTGGGATGGACGAGGGGACGGGAGTGGGGGATGGTGAGGAGGACGAGGGGACAGGGGAGGGGGTAACAGTAAGGTGGACGAGGGGACAGGGAAGTAAGGGATCGTGGAGACGAGGGGACAGGGGAATGGAAAATGGTAGGGAGGACGATGGAGGGGGAAATGGTTGGGCGGACGAGGGGATGGGGGAGGGGGGGAATGATAGGGAGGACGAGGGGACGGGTGATTTGGGGACGATGGGGAGGACGAAGCTACGGTGGAGTGGGGGATGATAGGGCAGGATAAAGGGACAGAGGAGGCGGGGGGGGGGGGGGGATGGGGATGTGGGGAATGGTTGGGAGGACGAGGGGACGGGGTAGACGGGAATGGTGGGGAGGACTAGGATACAGGGGAAGGTTGCTGTGGCTCACCAACATATATGTTTTGCTGAGCCACAGCAACGTGTGGCCGGGTACTGCTAATATATATATATATATATATATATATATATATATATATATATATATATATATATATATATATATATATATATATATACATATATATATATATATATAAATATATATATATATATGTCGTACCTAGTAGCCAGAACGCACTTCTCAGCCTACTATGCAAGGCCCGATTTGCCTAATAAGCCAAGTTTTACTGAATTAATATATTTTCGCAATTTTTTTCTTATGAAATGATAAAGCTACCCATTTCATTATGTATGAGGTCAATTTTTTTTATTGCAGTTAAAATTAACGTAGATATATGACCGAACCTAACCAACTCTACCTAACCTAACCTAGCCTATCTCTTATAGGTTAGGTTAGGTTAGGTACCCGAAAAAGTTAGGTTAGGTTAGGTTAGGTAGGGTACGTAGTTGGAAAAAACATTAATTCATGAAAACTTGGCTTATTAGGCAAATCGGGCCTTGCATGGTAGGCTGAGAAGTGCGTTCTGGCTACTAGGTACGACACATATATATATATATATATATATATATATATATATATATATATATATATATATATATATATATATTATATATATATATATATATATCATATATATATATATATATGTGTGTGTGTGTGTATTCGGTAGGCATAATAGAGGAAAAATGAATTTGTCAGAAAGGCCTTGTCCAAGAGCTAATAGCTCGATTCGGCAGATACAAATAGTAAATACACGAAATACACTCATCCACGCCAATCTAGTGTGCACCAATTCTTTACTGTTTGCCCCTGTTCCTCCTGCAATAATTAATTTAAATAATTGTTGACCTGTTTGTAAACAGATTGGTGGGTCGTGTTACAGCAAAAACTAGAAGGGTTACGTGAGGCATAGGAAGGGAATTTCTGCTAAAAGGAATCAGAAGTCAAATAATCCATTGCCCAATTGGGTAAAAAGGACATATACTGACAGATAGATAGATAGATAGATAGATAGATAGATAGATAGATAGATAGATAGATAGAGAGTGAACCTTTCTTACCTCTTCTTAAATTGGCCACTGTGGTCGTCGATCAACTTCATATACATAAGTGGAGGCAGAACGAAGGTGCAGAGTGTGATCAGTGAACCTCCGATCAGGTTCAGGATCAGCCCAAAGTCCGGAATAGCCAAGCAGATCAGCATTTGCAGCGACACGATCAGAGATCGTAGCACACATCTCTTCCAAGTGAACTCTGTTAGGGTTGATAAGATGGGTGTTAAATTTGTGTCGGGTTGTACTCATCTGTTTGAGTACCGACTCCAGGGTAGTGTTGTACTCATCTGTTTGAGTACAACCCGACTCCAGGGTAGGATTGTACTCACCTGTTTGAATACAATCCTACTCCAGAGTAGGGTTGTACTCATCTGTTTGAGTACAACCCGACTCCAGGGTAGGGTTGTACTCACCCGTTTGAGTACAACACGACTCCAAGGTCGGGATTCTGCTACTGGCACAGTCCTTTCAGCTTTAAACTGTTTGTTATCATGATTCACTACTCTCTCACTTCCCTTTTTAACCTACTGTTCTACCATCCCAGATTCGCCTACTTCTGCTCTACCGTCCAATATTTGGCATGTTTATTATATTTCTCCGCTCTGAACCCCTCGGAGGATATTGAATGTTCCAATCATGTCACTTACCACCTTACTGTACCACAACTCTAATTATGTACCACTGTAGTCACTGTACCACTACTATAATCATGTCTTGTAGTTGTGTTACAGTTCCTTCAATCACTCACTTTAATTCATTGACTGACCTTGTGACACAAATCTTTATATTTTCTAGCTTCGTTGTAGTCATTTTCAGGTAAGGTCTTCACGATGGTCCTGTCCACTCTATGACTGCTTCTCTGTAAGTGGGACTTGGCTTCTGATGACTGTTTTAGATAATTACCACCTTAATATGTGCTGTCAGTTTTTAATACCCTTTATACATATCTCTGGTATGAGGCCGGTCTTTATATCCCTTTCTGTTCACACCTGGTGCGAGGCTTGGGGTTACATTTACTCCTGACATGAAGCCTGGCCATTATGTCCCCTTCTAGTGTGAGGTCCGGCTTTGTGTTTATTCCTGGTATGAGGTCCGGTTTTTTGTTTCTTCGTATATATATATATATATATATAATATATATATATATATATATATATATATATATATATATATATATATATATGTGAGTTTTCAGTTGCATATTGTCCAGGGGGACCATTCTGGCTTGTTCGCATTTGTGTTCCTCACGTGTGCCCCTAAGAATGAGGTGATTTGGTAAAATGCTATGCCCAAGATAACTATCCGAGTGCCGGCGGTGGGGTGGTTCAAATAGCCTCGGCTATCACCTCATTATGTCCGGTCGTGATGGTCAAGTGGATTAAGGCGTCTTGTACATACCAGTTGCGTTGCTTCTGGGAGTATGGGTTCGAGTCACTTCTGGGGTGTGAGTTTTCAGTTGCATATTGTCCAGGGGACCATTCTGGCTTGTTCGCATTTGTGTTCCTCACGTGTGCCCCTAAGAATGAGGTGATTTGGTAAAATGCTATGCCCAAGATAACTATCCGAGTGCCGGCGGTGGGGTGGTTCAAATAGCCTCGGCTATCACCTCATTATGTCCGGTCGTGATGGTCAAGTGGATTAAGGCGTCTTGTACATACCAGTTGCGTTGCTTCTGGGAGTATGGGTTCGAGTCACTTCTGGGGTGTGAGTTTTCAGTTGCATATTGTCCAGGGGACCATTCTGGCTTGTTCGCATTTGTGTTCCTCACGTGTGCCCCTAAGAATGAGGTGATTTGGTAAAATGCTATGCCCAAGATAACTATCCGAGTGCCGGCGGTGGGGTGGTTCAAATAGCCTCGGCTATCACCTCATTATGTCCGGTCGTGATGGTCAAGTGGATTAAGGCGTCTTGTACATACCAGTTGCGTTGCTTCTGGGAGTATGGGTTCGAGTCACTTCTGGGATGTGAGTTTTCAGTTGCATATTGTCTAGGGGACCATTCTGGCTTGTTCGCATTTGTGTTCCTCACGTGTGCCCCTAAGAATGAGGTGATTTGGTAAAATGCTATGCCCAAGATAACTATCCGAGTGCCGGCGGTGGGGTGGTTCAAATAGCCTCGGCTATCACCTCATTATGTCCGGTCGTGATGGTCAAGCGGATTAAGGCGTCTTGTACATACCAGTTGCGTTGCTTCTGGGAGTGTGGGTTCGAGTCACTTCTGGGGTGTGAGTTTTCAGTTGCATATTGTCCAGGGGACCATTCTGGCTTGTTCGCATTTGTGTTCCTCACGTGTGCCCCTAAGAATGAGGTGATTTGGTAAAATGCTATGCCCAAGATAACTATCCGAGTGCCGGCGGTGGGGTGGTTCAAATAGCCTCGGCTATCACCTCATTATGTCCGGTCGTGATGGTCAAGTGGATTAAGGCGTCTTGTACATACCAGTTGCATTGCTTCTGGGAGTATGGGTTCGAGTCACTTCTGGGGTTGTGAGTTTTCAGTTGCATATTGTCCAGGGGACCATTCTGGCTTGTTCGCATTTGTGTTCCTCACGTGTGCCCCTAAGAATGAGGTGATTTGGTAAAATGCTATGCCCAAGATAACTATCCGAGTGCCGGCGGTGGGGTGGTTCAAATAGCCTCGGCTATCACCTCATTATGTCCGGTCGTGATGGTCAAGTGGATTAAGGCGTCTTGTACATACCAGTTGCGTTGCTTCTGGGAGTATGGGTTCGAGTCACTTCTGGGGTGTGAGTTTTCAGTTGCATATTGTCCAGGGGACCATTCTGGCTTGTTCGCATTTGTGTTCCTTACGTGTGCCCCTAAGAATGAGGTGATTTGGTAAAATGCTATGCCCAAGATAACTATCCGAGTGCCGGCGGTGGGGTGGTTCAAATAGCCTCGGCTATCACCTCATTATGTCCGGTCGTGATGGTCAAGTGGATTAAGGCGTCTTGTACATACCAGTTGCGTTGCTTCTGGGAGTATGGGTTCGAGTCACTTCTGGGGTGTGAGTTTTCAGTTGCATATTGTCCAGGGGACCAATCTGGCTTGTTCGCATTTGTGTTCCTCACGTGTGCCCCTAAGAATGAGGTGATTTGGTAAAATGCTATGCCCAAGATAACTATCCGAGTGCCGGCGGTGGGGTGGTTCAAATAGCCTCGGCTATCACCTCATTATGTCCGGTCGTGATGGTCAAGTGGATTAAGGCGTCTTGTACATACCAGTTGCGTTGCTTCTGGGAGTATGGGTTCGAGTCACTTCTGGGGTGTGAGTTTCAGTTGCATATTGTCCAGGGGACCATTCTGGCTTGTTCGCATTTGTGTTCCTCACGTGTGCCCCTAAGAATGAGGTGATTTGGTAAAATGCTATGCCCAAGATAACTATCCGAGTGCCGGCGGTGGGGTGGTTCAAATAGCCTCGGCTATCACCTCATTATGTCCGGTCGTGATGGTCAAGTGGATTAAGGCGTCTTGTACATACCAGTTGCGTTGCTTCTGGGAGTATGGGTTCGAGTCACTTCTGGGGTGTGAGTTTTCAGTTGCATATTGTCCAGGGGACCATTCTGGCTTGTTCGCATTTGTGTTCCTCACGTGTGCCCCTAAGAATGAGGTGATTTGGTAAAATGCTATGCCCAAGATAACTATCCGAGTGCCGGCGGTGGGGTGGTTCAAATAGCCTCGGCTATCACCTCATTATGTCCGGTCGTGATGGTCAAGTGGATTAAGGCGTCTTGTACATACCAGTTGCGTTGCTTCTGGGAGTATGGGTTCGAGTCACTTCTGGGATGTGAGTTTTCAGTTGCATATTGTCTAGGGGACCATTCTGGCTTGTTCGCATTTGTGTTCCTCACGTGTGCCCCTAAGAATGAGGTGATTTGGTAAAATGCTATGCCCAAGATAACTATCCGAGTGCCGGCGGTGGGGTGGTTCAAATAGCCTCGGCTATCACCTCATTATGTCCGGTCGTGATGGTCAAGCGGATTAAGGCGTCTTGTACATACCAGTTGCGTTGCTTCTGGGAGTGTGGGTTCGAGTCACTTCTGGGGTGTGAGTTTTCAGTTGCATATTGTCCAGGGGACCATTCTGGCTTGTTCGCATTTGTGTTCCTCACGTGTGCCCTAAGAATGAGGTGATTTGGTAAAATGCTATGCCCAAGATAACTATCCGAGTGCCGGCGGTGGGGTGGTTCAAATAGCCTCGGCTATCACCTCATTATGTCCGGTCGTGATGGTCAAGTGGATTAAGGCGTCTTGTACATACCAGTTGCATTGCTTCTGGGAGTATGGGTTCGAGTCACTTCTGGGGTGTGAGTTTTCAGTTGCATATTGTCCAGGGGACCATTCTGGCTTGTTCGCATTTGTGTTCCTCACGTGTGCCCCTAAGAATGAGGTGATTTGGTAAAATGCTATGCCCAAGATAACTATCCGAGTGCCGGCGGTGGGGTGGTTCAAATAGCCTCGGCTATCACCTCATTATGTCCGGTCGTGATGGTCAAGTGGATTAAGGCGTCTTGTACATACCAGTTGCGTTGCTTCTGGGAGTATGGGTTCGAGTCACTTCTGGGGTGTGAGTTTTCAGTTGCATATTGTCCAGGGGACCATTCTGGCTTGTTCGCATTTGTGTTCCTTACGTGTGCCCCTAAGAATGAGGTGATTTGGTAAAATGCTATGCCCAAGATAACTATCCGAGTGCCGGCGGTGGGGTGGTTCAAATAGCCTCGGCTATCACCTCATTATGTCCGGTCGTGATGGTCAAGTGGATTAAGGCGTCTTGTACATACCAGTTGCGTTGCTTCTGGGAGTATGGGTTCGAGTCACTTCTGGGGTGTGAGTTTTCAGTTGCATATTGTCCAGGGGACCAATCTGGCTTGTTCGCATTTGTGTTCCTCACGTGTGCCCCTAAGAATGAGGTGATTTGGTAAAATGCTATGCCCAAGATAACTATCCGAGTGCCGGCGGTGGGGTGGTTCAAATAGCCTCGGCTATCACCTCATTATGTCCGGTCGTGATGGTCAAGTGGATTAAGGCGTCTTGTACATACCAGTTGCGTTGCTTCTGGGAGTATGGGTTCGAGTCACTTCTGGGGTGTGAGTTTTCAGTTGCATATTGTCCAGGGGACCATTCTGGCTTGTTCGCATTTGTGTTCCTCACGTGTGCCCTAAGAATGAGGTGATTTGGTAAAATGCTATGCCCAAGATAACTA